CACATGAACATGTGTGCTGTGGCAAGGACATGCCTGCACATGAACATAAGTGAGGAATGTACTTTGGTTAGCTTTGTTTCTGTTTTCGGCAGTTACTTGAGATCTAGCTCCACGTCCTGTTTCCACTTGGAGTGTTTGTTTAGGTTCCCTGTCCTCAGGATGCCTGCTGTGCGAGGTTTTGTGTGGATGAATGGGGAAGGAGCCTGGAAAGGAGAAAGCGAGACAGGGAGACAGGAAGCTGTGCAAAGCTGGTGACAGAATAATGCTGCCCGCATTCAGTAGTGGCCATCAGAGCAGGCCAGGGCTGGACGCCTGGCACAGGGCCCCAACGGGGCATTTTGTCTCCAACTTCTATGCCTTTTATTTGGCCCCTCAGCAGTATCCACTCAGTCTGTAACCACTTAGAAGCCCACAGTGCCTGATACATACAGAGTGGGTTTATATCATTGAAGGGCTGCGGGAGCTGAGTCGTGTACCTACTCAGGTGTGGCCAGTCATCACCAAGGCTGCTTCTTGGAAGAGATGTGTGGCTTAGTTCTTGAGGTGCTTGTCAAAATGTAAAGGAGTTTGTAAAGTGTGGGTTCCAGGGGTACGGTTGTTTGACAGGACGGTGAGAGACGGGTCTGATATGCTTCAATGCTCTGACATTGCAGAAACTAAAGTTATCAGATGAACCTGTAGAAGCAAAAGAAGATTACACTAAGTTTAACACTAAAGACTTGAAGACCGGCAAGGTATGTGTGTCCAGGTGTAGTGGCATGGTGGCAGCCCCAGTGGCCTTGCGTGTTTCTAAGAATGGCTGCACTGTTGACTGCACTTACACTTCTGACCAGGAAAAGTGGTTAACTTGCATTTCTATCATCATAATTCATTCAGAATTGTTCACAATAGTGAACATGATTTTGCCAATCCAAGAAAAGCCATGGTCATACAGAATGAGCCTGAATTTTACCCTGTGTTTATAGAACAGTGGATGAGAGGGAAGCAACTTCTCCAGGAGATATTTTTTTCAATACTCCTGCCAAGAGGGTTCTCAGAAATTAGAGTAAGTAAGAAACTTCCCAGTTCCACCATTCAGCATCCCCCTGCAGCTGTCTGCTTGAGTAACTTTTCTTGCTGGGTTTTGTTACGCATGTGTCATGAGTCACATGATGCATTTATAACCTAGGTCTTGTCTCTGCCATTCATTTAGCATTATGTAAGCGTGTGCCACTAAATCCCCCTTGCCACATGGGGGTGGGGCATGACACAGAGTCATGTAATTTTATCACTTCCTGTGTTTGGACGTTCAGGTTAGTGACCAGGGTTTGTTTGTCTGCTCTGACCACTTTATTACCCACAGTGAAAGACTCAGAGCTCAGAGTTTCAGGCAATTGAAATAGACAGCTAAAATGCTTTCCAGAAATACAGGGAAACTAACTCCCGGATGCTGCCAGCAAGTGTCCTTCCTGCATCCGTGTCTGCCCTCAATGCTACTTTTATTTTTGAAATTTTTACTTGTCAGGCGGGACAGTCCCTTAACTAGAAAGGTCTGTTTTTCCAGGTTGCTTGTTGTCTCTTTGCATTTGTACAAACTGTCAGTTGTCACCCTTGCCTGTCTCTGTGTTGTGAAAGCAATCCTTTTCTGTTGATCTGTGAGAATTTATTCTAAATAAAGGCTAGTAACTCTTTTCATGACACATTCAGGGTACAAGAAATTTTCCAGCATATTTTTACCCATTTTGCTTGATTTTTTAAACAGTTGTAATTTTTTTTCTGAGTTTAGGTATATAGTTTGCATTTCTTTATGATTTCCCTATTTTTTTCTTCATGCTCGCCCATCCCAAGACACATTAACTTCCATTTAGATTTTAACAATATATAGTCCTAATATTGATTTCGTTGTTGTTGTTGTTTTGTTTTTTTCAATTTTATTCCTTGGGCTTTGGTAGCAGAAGAAATTCCAATTTAAGTTTTGCCTAAATAGCTCTCTCTCCCAGCATTCTGTGAATTCACAGAGTGATCACAAATCATCGTGAATTGTTCATTAGTGGGTGACTCACACTGGCAGTGCCACCATTGCTGTCATGTCTGTATCTTTACAGTTAATGTATCCTCAAAATGATCCCCAGAGGGGACCATCCTTGGAGCATCCAGTTCCTCAGAATGGGGTATGTTTTCCTTTGCACCTCACTCTCAAGTCTCGATTCTGAGTAGGTAGCACGTTTGTTTGCACCCCACTATCAAGTCTGGATTCTGAGTAGGTAGCAGGTTTGTTTGCGCTCTGCCACTCACGTGTTCATTGAACCCAGACTCAGGCTTGTGTGATTTGCATGTACCATGATTTACAAATATTGCAAATCTCTCTTTATTTTTATTAACAGAAAAATAGCAAAATGACTGCAGCTCAGAAGGCTTTGGCTAAAGTTGACAAGAGCGGAATGAAAAGTATTGATGCTTTTTTTGGTCCAAAAAGTAAAAAAACTGGAAAGATTTGAAGCATCGAAAATAAAACCCAGTGACGCAGAAACAGAAGTTTGCCTCTGTCCTATTCTGTCTTGTCTCTTCTTGCCGCTAAATCACTACGCTGAGAGCCGAGGTACTTTCACACCCTCCTGACACTTCACTGGGCTATGACTTTGTGTCTGACACACACAGTCACTGTGGGAAAGTGATTGTGTGAGCTGCTGTCCGGGGCCTTTGGAACGTTTGCCATAATGAAAAGTCATCAAGTGAATGGGTCACAGAGTCACGGCTTCCCCAGGGAGGTGTGAGCGATGCCCAGCTGTTCCCTGCTCTGTCCCGTGTGGCTTCAGCTGAAATGAGCTGGACAACAAAACCATGCATTTTGGTAAATTTTATAATTAGCCATATCTTCCTATGAATTCATGTTCTTTGTAAAAATAAAAATCAATAAAACAAAATTTCGATCTCTGACCTTTCCATTATACAGACACAACTAGATAATTTTCTTAGAATAAAAATATTTTCAAGAACTCTGATCATAGTTTTGTTGCTTTTTAGAGACTGTCATTTTGTGAGCATTTCCCCAGCATCCTGGGTGTTCATAGACACGCTTGTGAAGGCCTGGGCTGCAGCTTAGGTGGGAAGTGGCATGAGGTACTTGCCTTTCATGCTTGCTTTTTTCGCTTTAATTTTTTTCAGTATAATTTTTAAGTATTTAGATATTTAATTATTAAATAACTATTTTCCTATACAACTCCTGCACTTCAGGCTCAGGGATCATGAGGAAGAAGGGGCAGAAAGGTTATAAGAGCCAGAAAAGCAGGACACTGCTGTTAGATTGTGTCTTATAGAAATGACAGGGAAGCTTCACCATGAAGTCTCATCAGCATGGCTGCTGTGATGGTTTATGTATACTCGTCTCAGGGAGTGGCACTATTAGGAGGTGTGTTCCTGATGAAGTAGGTATGTCACTGTGGGTGTGGGATTAAGACCCTCACCCTAGCTGCCTGGAAGTCAGTCTTTCACTAGCAGCCTTCAGATGAAGATGTAGAACTCTCAGCTACTCCTGCACCATGCCTGCTGGATGCTGCAATGTTCCTGCCTTGATGATAATGGACTGAACCTCTAAACCTGTAAACCAGCCCCAATTAGATGTTGTCCGTATAAGAGTTGCCTTGGTCATGGTGTCTGTTCCCAGCAGTAAAACCCTAAGACAGCTGCCTAAACAAGACTTGACTGGGGCAACACTAATATGCATCCTATCGTGGAGGAGGGAAGCAGGCACTCGGCCTTAGACAGAGAACCTAGGAAAGCTGAAAGCTTCCAAGGAAGAGCACAACTGGCTATTCAGTATCACTTGGTCAGACCTGAAAAGACGCATGCAAGTAAGATTATATGAATTAAGCAGATTGATTTATATATTCAGGAATATGCATGTATGTAAAGAAAAAGGTTGTGAATTTAATAGAGCCAGGAGGGGTACATGTGGGTGATAGAAGAGAAAGGGGAAATTATGCAGTTATAATTTAATTTCAAAAAATGTTTTTAAAACCTTTTTTTCTAAATCTTCGGTTTTTTGAAATGTCATCTTTTATTACTTTTTAAAAGTAGTTGTTAAAATTGTTTATAAATATATATATAAATATATATATATGTAGAAACATATCACAAAAGGGTTAACACATATGTATATGGTTTCTTAGATCAACTAAAAGACATCATACTATGGTATTTTATGTGTGTGTGAGCGTGTGCGTGGGTGCATGCGTGAGTGTGTGTGTATGTGTGTGTGCATGTGCATGTATATATGAGTTCCAGCACAGATGCACCACAACATGTGTGGAGGTCAGACGAAACCTCAGATGTACACTGGTCCACACTTTGCCCTATTTGAGACCAGATCTTTCTTGTTCCCTGCTGAGTACACCAGGCTAGCTGCCCTGAGAGCCTCCTGCCTCTGCTTCCTGCCTTGTCAGCAGAGCATTGGGTTCCAGGAGTTGGCTACTGTGTGTCACGTGGGTTCTAAGGATTTGAACTCAAGTACTTTCCTCACTGACTCTCTGCCCAGCCCTTAGTATGGTTTTAACTAACACATTCTTGATGAATAACAATGTTGAACATTTTCACATTAACCAATCATCATCATAGAGAGAAATGGTTTTTTGTTCTTCAGCTACATGGGGTGGTAGCCAGAGTCTTTCTACTGTGAATTATTATCAACCTTCATTTTAGCTAATAAGTAAGTAGCAGATAGATATCCCTGGACTTTGTAAGCATCTATTCCATTATAATGTTGCACATGCTAGTTTTAGGTTCTACTGTTTCGTTCTGCTTTGTTTAACTCATGTCTTTTTTCTTATCCTCTCCATTTTCATCCATGAAGCTATACTTCCCTATCTTTCCAGTGACTTATACTATTAACTCTGATGTTCACTTGTTCCAGAAGGGCCAGTGGGAACCCCTTCAAGCATGCTCTTGTAGCGTGTGTGTGTGTGTGTGTGTGTGTGTGTGTGTGGTATATGCCTGTGTTTGTGGGTGTGGATACATGCTGCACATGTGTGTGGGTCTGTGGGAGTCTAAAGTTGGCATCAGGCATCCTCCTCCATCTCTGTCTTACCTTCTCAAGCAAGGACTCACACTTGGAGCTCATTGGCACTGGCTCACCTGATGCCCCCTCCCTCCTCCAGTGCTAGGATTACAGATGTGTGCATCTACACCTGGCTTCCTACATGGATCTGGAAATCTGGACTAGGGTCGTCATGCATGCATTGTAGGCACCGTACTGGCTGCCCGAAGCCCCACTCTTCTGCCTTTGTAGTATGCTGTCACCGTTGCTTCTTTCTATGGTCAGGTTCTCGTACTTAGGCTGCATAACTCTGAATCAGCCTTTCCCCAAGGAATTGGAAACTGCAGTCTAGACAGTAGGCGAGCCCAGTGTCACGGCACATTGCTGTTTAGTATCTGTATCTAGGAAATGATTTTCTCTGTGTACAGTGTTTGTATATACACTTCTAAACTTACCCAGGGCAGTACCTGCAGATGTATATTGATGTTTGTAGATCCCTTGTTGGTTTGTAAAGGCCTTCTTCTACTCCTAGTACTTCAAGTCTTTAACAAGTGTTACATTTGATCAAATTTTGTATCTTTTGAGATGATCATAAAATTTAACAGACATAGCTCAATATCAGAATTATAAGACTGGAAAAGATGAAAGCCTCTGCATTGGATTGTGTTTATTCTTTCTACACACAGGACTAAGTCTTACTTTCTAATATTGCTGCAGATTTTATATCCCTGTTCGTGAGGGATACCAACTAGTTTTCTTTACATATAATGCTCTCATCTGCCTTTGATAACAGTGTAAAACTGGCCTGACTTAGCTTGCCTTCTATTACTGTAATAGAGATACTATGGCTTAGGGAGCAGCTTAGGGAGGGAAGGTTTTATTTTGCTTACATTTCCAGGCATCTAGAAGAGCCCCCCCCCAAAAAAAAAAAACCCACTTTTTACTGACTTGTCTTCAGAAGGAATTTGGGGAAATATTTTGTTTCTTCCTTATATATTAGAATTCACCAGTGACTGCTGGGCCAGGAATTTCTGAGGAAGTCTTTAATTACATTTTAACTTTCATAGTACTATGGCAGTTTACTCCCCGCCCTTTTGTGCCAGTTTTAATAATTTGCCATTTTTTTCCTTTTTTACTAGAATATGTCAATTATAAACAGTACTAGGTTTCTATCCCTGCATACAGTGTGTTTTGATTATATCCACCCTCGCCTTCTCTAGCTCCCCTCCATCCCTGGGATGTCTTTCCTTCACCCAGACCTCTTCTGCTTTCTCACCTGCTTCTTCCCTTTTGTGGCCCGTGAGTTTAATTGTGTTTGATTAGTGACATCTTTTAAATTTGTCAAATTTCTTGACACAAGTTTCCCATCATTTGCGTTACCATCTGCGTGTCATTGGTTGTGATGTGCCCTTCTGTATGTCTCCTAATGGTCGTTTGCATCATTTTCCCGTTCTTGGTTAGCCTGGGTAGTGTACCAACTCCCTTTACCCTCAGAACCACTGTCACGTGACTTGTGCAGTCTGTGGGGACGCCTGTAGTGGCTGGCTTTCCTGTTACTTTTGTTCTGGAGCAGTTGCAGCAAGCTGGCTGTTCAGCCGGCATCTTGGTGTTTCTTTGCTTAAGCACCTTGAATTTTGGGTTTATAATTGTCAGGTTTAGAAATATTTTTTTCTAATCACTTTTCAAATATGTCTCTGCTATTTTCCTTCTTTGCTCACCAGACCCTCAGATTTGGGGACTCCAATGTGTGCTGGGCCACTTGACCATCATGTTGACACTGAGTGTCTGCTTTCTTTTAATTCCTTTTCTATTTAGACAGCTCCTGTGTTTTCAGCTGTACTCTGGTTTGTGGTATTTCATCCTCTGTTAACCTCGGTTAGTGCTATTTTTCAAGTACTCTAGCTGTTATCTCTAGGCATCCTTTGTTCTTGTGTCTTCCCATTCCTGCTGTTTCTTATGTTACAGTTACAATAACATTAAATGTTCTCTTCTGCTGGCTCCGCTGCCGTTGTTGTTTCTGGGCTGGTTTATGATTTTCTCTTTCCTCTTAGTTTGCCAACATACTGTATTTGTCCTGACTAACTTTTTTACGATGGTAGGAATTGAACTTGGATCTGTGAGCGTGCTAGGCAAGTCTTTATCAGTGAGCGACAGCCCAGCCTTTTTTTTCTCTTGAAATGGTTTTAGATTGATAGGAAAGAAGCAAAAATAGTAAGAAGTTGAAGCCCTGTGTTCCACCATCATAATATTTTGCATAGCCATACTGCAGTGATCAAAGCCAGGAAATTTATGACATCATTCTGTTAATCTGTAGCTTTGTGAGAGTTTTACCTTTCTAGGATTTTCTGTTCCAGAGTCTATTTCATGATCTTATATTTTGTGAGACACCCTATCTTGGCATTTTCTAATATTCAGGATTCCTTCATGGGTTTCACCCCCTCCCCACCAGCTCCCCAAGGCCCTCAGCCCTGTTTGAGAATAATGGTTGGTTATTCTGAGAATGCTCCTTGCTTTGTGAGATCCCTGAACTATGCTACTGTTGTATCTCTTGTGTGCTCATCCAGAGAACTACTAACTTCAGTCTTTCAGACACTGGATAGTTTTGGCAATGGTCTAAGTGCTTGACATGTAATAACTCATTTAATCTCTGTAACAATTAGAGCTGCAGAACAAGGTGCTATAGTAACCAGGTGTACTAAGTCCTATTAAACATACCTAGGAAAACTTTGGTCCAGTCAAAGTTTGATATGTCAAAGGAATTCTTGCTATGTATGGCTCACAGAAAAGTCCAGGTACTTCTTTTAAATGTAAATTTGGTTCATAATTTTATTCATGAATGATTTTCAAAACTTAACCCTTTATAGAACTTAACACTTTACAGATGCCATCAGAATGGGAAGGTTAACCATGGCTTGTTGGCTGCTTTAACATTGTTTGAGAAATCTGTCAGAAAAAGGAATATTGCTTCTATGTAGGTAATGGAAGTTTTTGCTGGGTTTTGGCTAGCTGTGGTAGAATTCTTGACTTGCAGCCAATAAGAGGCTCAAACAGGATCCAGAGAGTGATTAGTCCTTTCCTTTCTGGTGTTGCTTTAAATTTCCTGTCTTTCTGTCTTGCTTCAATGACACTCTCTTCTCTTGCTCTTTGGAGACCAGCTCCCAGCAGCAGGAGCTGTTCTGAGTAGTTGGGCTACTCAGTTCTTTATCTTGTACAATGCATGCAGTAGCAAGATGTTAAGCACAGAGAAGACCTGGTTTGTCTGAATAATTGGAAGGATTCAGTTTTCATACCTTCTCATGTACTGAGATTTACACACTGTTCAGGTTCATGTACTCTTTGGGGCTGTCACACTGGACCAAAGTTTTCCTAGATATGTTTAATAGGACTTTATAGTTTCCATTGCAGCCACATATCATTATTTAAGTTAGTTTTTGCAACCACTCAGAGAGAGCCAAAGAGAGATACTGCCCCTGTTTTATAGGTGCCCAAAGTGAGGCCATGCAGACTATCTGTAACAGAGCCAAGATAGCATCCTTTTTTGAAATACCAGCTCAGGCCTCTTCCTTTTGGCTTCCTCGAGTTCCTACGCTGTTCTCTGTATAGCTGATAGCCATTGTACTAGTTTGTTTTCTATGGCTATGATGAACACCATGACTAAGAGCAACTTGAGGAAAGTTTATTTCATCTTACAACTTATAGTTCATTTTAAAAGGAAGACAGGGTAGCAACTCAAGGTAAGAACTGAAGCAGAAACCACAAGCACTTACTGGCTTGCACTCCATAGATTGCTCAGCATGCTTTCTTACATACCCCAGGACTGCCTTCCCAGGGGCTACACCCCACCTTCAGTGGGCTGGGCTTTCCCACATCAATCATTCATCAACAAAATTTACCACAAGCTTGCCTGCTCACCATTTTCTCAATTGAAGTTTCTTCTTCCCAGATAACCTTAGCATGTGTCAAACTGACAGAAAAAATAAGTAAATAAAAGAAACCAGTACAGCAATTGTCACATAGCTCTTCCTGAGGAGACATGAACAAATATCTGTTCATCCCTAACAGGACACCAACAACAAACTAAGGCTATGATTCTACTCATGTCCAGCCTTGTGAGCCAGGGCATTTGGTGAGGTTGCTTACAGAGCTGTGAGTGGAGGACCCTTATGAGCCTGGATGACATCCATAGGAGCAGGATGACTCAGAGGCCCTTGAACAAAGGCAGGCCCTTCACTCCGGCAGTTGTTACAGCTTCTATAACTTTGCCTGCAGCCTTGTGAAACTTGTAAGTTTTAGAAACTTGCTGAGATTTGTGAGTTTTGTTTACTTCCTGAGACCTAATAAATTCCTCCAGAGAGGAATGGTTCAGTGCAGAAGAAATAGCTACACAATAGCTATTTATCCTAAAGTAGATTTTTGAAACTACTAGTTACAATGAAATGGCATATAAAATTAAAATAGTGTTGATAGTTTTCACAAAAGAAACCAAGGAATAAGCTTATATTTTCTTACTCCTTAAGGACATGATCTGAGTACCTACTGTGTGTCAAACATGATTCTAGGTATTAGATATGGAGCTGACAGTGTGAAAGTGTGAAAGACAAAACAAAAAAAACAAAATAAAAAACAAAAAACAAAACAAACAAACAAACAAACAAAAAGACAAAACATGCCCTGGAGAAATTTTCATTTCAAGGTGGGCAGGCAGATAGCCTGTCAGATGCAGGATTATGGAGAAAGCCTTGTGGACACTGGACAAGAGTTGTGGATAGCGGAGAGGTAAAGGAAGGCCTTGCGTCCTTTATGTCATATCTACATTGTGGCATGAAAATCAGAGTTTCCTCAACGAGGTCAGTTGTAACTTACAGCTTTGGAATAAATTATTGGTAGTTTTACCCATAAGAAGTCAGTTTACAGCTGCTACACATTCTTCAGGCATTTTAAGGCCTTCTCCTTTCAAGTCTATGCCTATCTATTTTGCCAGATAATTAGATGTAGATATGTGAGGCTCATGCTTGAAAGACATTTGTTTTAAGGGGAAAAGGAGGCAGAAAAACAAAACTGAAATCACATAAGAGTTATCCTCCTTAGAATCATGTTTTCATGCATTTCTTATGTTTTTGCCTTTTTTTCACAGTGATGGTATCCATTCCACAAGTGATGTGAACATTATATTATATTTTAAACATTATTTTGTAGTGCACCTTGGAGGAATAAACTGGGGGAGAAGGAGCAGGGGAAGTCTCTGGGAACGCACACCATCCTTATTTCTTGGGATCCAAGCTTTTCTGTTCTGTAACTGCTGCTTGGGCTCTCAGGTGACCCATTTCCTCTCCTCTCTAGATGGCAACACAAAGACGAAAAAGAGGCAAGTGACAAGTGCTGCCCCTCCCCAACTCACCCCCTGCAAGACCTGGCTGCTTCCTGTGCAACTTCAGATGCCTGCTGTAAAGTCTTCTGAACTTCCAAGAGTGCTCTGCAACTTCAGGAAACCACCGTCTGCCAGAGGCGGCAGTTAAAAAACCAGTGATGAGCGTGTTGTTTCTTAGATCAACCATGGTCATCTCTCCTGGAAGCTCTCAGCAGAGTGTTCCGTGCTGGAGTTCAGGCTACCCCAGAGTGTGGATCTGAGGAGTGTGGCTGCCCCCTTGCCCTCTGCCCCAGCCCAGTTGGCAGAAGCATGCCTATCTTTCCAGTATAGCACCTTAGATTGAAAAATGTCCAGATGAGAAGGCTTCTTGTGAAACCAAGGTCGTTCTTCCAGCCTGACTTGGTTTGCTTCCCATGTGTTGGGGTATCTTCATGGTTGACGTAAGCACAAGCATCCACGCCACAGGCTCAGGCAAACCAAGTTTCAGCCTTTTAAAATACTTACCCCAAACCTGACCCTTCTTTCCTTCTTACCAACTTGGCAGCTTCTAATGCAATAACGGTGCCCAAGTATGTACATTTTATAGCTTCATGGAGTTATAAACATAGCTTCATTTTTAAAAGGTTTGTCCAGTGTGTGTGTTAGTGTGATTTCTTAGAGCCAGGACAGAGTATATGAGAGAGTTGGGAATGAATGCCAAAGAGCAGTTCAGTGGAGGATGCCCAGCGAGGCTCTTAAGGAGACAGTGAGAGGTTTGGGACAGAAGTGTCTGAGGTCTGAGTGACACTAGGACTGGGCATACAGCAGGGCAGGCTGGCTGCCGCCAGCTGACCTCCCTTGTTCACACAGGACCACCCCCCTCTTCAGGGAATGGTCCTGAGTCCTGACAAGTTGAGCCTCGTTCCTCACCAGTCTCATTTCCCCTTGCATCATTCCCAACTTACAAATAACCATGAACCCTAAGAGGCTCTCGGCGCCTTGGTGACCGAGAAATGAACCTGCCTCTCCAATCCAACACTACAGAGCCAATGTGAAGGGCTTGGGAAGGGTTCAGTCAAAAGACTGCCTGCCTCACATGCAGGAGGCCCTGGGTTTGATCCCCCACAGCACCCCATAAACCTATAATCGCAGCATTGGAGAAGGCGTGCAGAGGGGATAGAGGCAGGAGAATCAGATTTTCAAGGTCACTCTCAGCTGCGCACAGAGTTGAAGGCCAGCTTGGGGTGCATATGATCCTGCTCCAGAAATAAAGTCAATGTGTAAATCTAGAAGTACAGCGTGCTTCCAGGAGGGGCTGCTTCTGGACTTATCTGTGTGAGTCAGGCTGTTATGATGACTCATTGTTCCAGACACAGGGATGAGTTAGACTCTAACCTTTCTGCCATGTACAGTTCCAAGCACTGTGATTGGAGGTCAGGGCACATTTTGGCCCAAGGCTCAGGCCACCAATAGAATGCTCCTGCAGACAGCTCTGTCCTTGGAGCAAATCATTCCTGTTAGGACCTCAGCTCAGACAGGCCCTATTGTTCTCTCTTTTCTCCAAAGACTTATCCTGGGAGCCTTCTGGATAGTCCCCATGGTCCTGAAGTGTGATGCTGGCCCACTTATGACTGGCCCGTTGGTGTAATCATTTCTAACACAAGCTCTACCTCCCAACTGTATCTCCTACCCTCTGCTTCTGTATTGACCTCCCCTCACACAAGACATCCCTAGAAATCCTTTCTTAGTTGTGCTCCAAATCCTCAACTAGCCTCTGGAGTGTGTGTGTGTGTCTGTGTGTGTGTGTGTGTGTGTATGTGTGCGCACGCACACTCCTCTACATGTGTGAATGTTAGGTGGAAGCCAGAGAAGAGCCTTCAGTGCTCATCCTCACCATTCCACTGTGTCTGAGACACATCCATTACTGTGTAAGCCAACCACCTGGTTCCAACCTTCTAGAGTCTCCTGTCTCTGTTTCCTATATTTGCCTGCTGTGTCCAGCTTTTACCCGGGTTCTGATGATCCAAACTCAGGACATCAGGCTCAGCTGGCAAGCACTTTACTTAGTGAGCCAACTCCCAGTCCATGTAAGACTTTTCATAGAAGTTATTGAGGAAAGGATCTAAATTGGGAGGAAACTTATTGGAAAGAGATTATTTTAACTTTTCATAGTGAAAGTGTAGCCAGTATGTCTCCCTTCCTTACTCCCCCTCATTTGGGAATGTTTTATATACACATGTGTAACTCATATCAAAGCAGCTGAGTATTTCCGTTGGTTTCTTCAGAGCATTCGTTCCTTGAGAAGTCTCACTCGGGATCTTTATTTTTACTTGTGTCTCAGTAAGTTTCTTGGAGAACCAAGTCACACGTACTTCATTACGGTTCCTACTCCAGTGTGTGTCCAGCAAATGCTATCAGCAAAATAGTGGGTCTTCTAGACCCTGCACCTTAACAGCCTTAGAGGCCCGGGGTGTGATTCCTCAACCCTCTTTCTCAATCAGAAATGTAGGATTGGCTTAAATTGTGTCAATGTGTAGGTAGAGGCTGGGTCAATTTTGCTCTGAGGTTTTTCTCAGTTTTATAATGATTCTCAGCTGTTCTAGGGTACATTTCAGCCAAGCTAAGAGCCTCTGTTCCTGTCTACAACACAACCACCCCAGGAGAGCCTGGGAAATAACTCTCACCTTTGCTGTCAGTAAATTCCGAGCAGATAGTAAACAAATTGCTTTAGGAACTCTGTTCTCAATTGTGGGGCAGTGGGCTATGAGAAAAGGTCAGAAAGCTTGGTAGAAAGCTCTGGAAGCCCCGGAAACCTTGGTCTGAAGAAAGCCATTAGGACAGAAGGACCGCTTCCAGCTTCCCAAAGTCATCTGGCTCTCTTAGCTTCCGCTCCAGACAGCCCCTCCCATGGAGAGGTCCATGGCCATTGATCATGTAGGAAGAGCACCTTCATGCAGATGAGGCATTCTCAAGCTCTCAGATCAAGCCAATAGGGCTACCTGCCTGCCGCCACTCCAAAAACTGTATATATTGCCCAAGCTCAAAAGTATGTGTGAGATCTTTCCTGCTGACAGAGTGCTTTGTCGTGCTAGCTGCGCACTTCAAAGAGTTGTAACACTTTTCCCCTTTTCTGCCGTGTAACTGTGGTTCAAGAGACTACGTTGGCCCCGCCCCGTGCAACTGAACAGCGCGCCCCCCGGGAAGGCCACTGCGCTCCAGCTCGAGGCCACGACCCCGCAGGCGCGCCCCTCACAAGTTTAGACCCGCACCCAATGCTGCTGATGGCTTTCTCCAGGGAGCTTCATGGGGCTGAGTCAGAGCATGTTGTTTCTACACCGTTAGAGGTTTGGAAGCTATCTGGGCCACTTCTTGAAGCAAATAAAATTGTATAATCCTAATTTATATTGCTCTTGCTCTCATAGTTTGTAGGATTTGATATAGTAAGGAGATTTTATGAAGCTGATGTTTTCTGATTTCCTGTAACATCAGTGATTTATCATCAGTTATTTAACAGCAGTGAAATCAGGCTCTCAAGAGATCGGGCTGCACTGGGGGAGCTGCAGAGGTTAGTTCATTAGACTAGATGACCCAGCTGTGCCAGTGCTGTGCCGAGAGACAAGCCTGGAGTTACAGATTCACGGTGATTACTTTCACTGTTGCACACTGTTAGATTCACACTGTGGTCATAGCTACATAAGTGTGGTGGTTTGAATGACAGTGGCCTGCATAGCATAGACTCATATAGTTGAAAGCTTAGTCACCAAGGAGTAGAACTCTTTGATAGGATTGGAAAGATTAGGAGGTGTGGCCTTGTTGGAGGAGGGGGTGGGCTTTGAGGTTTCAACAGCCTCTCTCTCTCTCTCTCTCTCTCTCTCTCTCTCTCTCTCTCTCTCTCTCTCTGTGTGTGTGTGTGTGTGTGTGTGTCTGTCTGTCTGTCTGTCTGTCTATGTGTGTGTCTTCTTCCCTCTCTCCTGCCTGTGGATCTATGTGTGTGTGTTTATCTCTCTCTCCTGCCTGTGAATGTAGAACTCTCAGCTCCTTCTCCAGCACCATATCTGCCTGCATACTGCCATGCTTCTCAGCATAGTGATAATGGACTAACCTCTGAAACTGTAAGCCAGTCATCCAGTTAAATGCTTTCTTTTATAAGACTTACTGTGGTCATGGTGTCTCTTTACAGCAATTGACACTGAATAAGACAACAAGGAAACCTGTAGGTAAGTTGCCCCAAACTCTGCTGATACCCCTGTTCCCCCTGGTTAGTCCTTGCATCCAGCATGCCATGGAATAAATCTATACACCAACTCCCTGGAGTCATTATAGCAGATACTCAGCCATGAGACTATCTTAGTAACCCTCCACATCCATGATAGCCTTCAAACCTTGCCCACATGTGGCATTCCAGTATAAAAATAAGATAGAAAGGACTTTGGGGATCCAGGGCTAAGTCTATCCTGTTGAAATACTCAGATGATCTAGAAGTATTATAATTTATAACTTTGTCCTATTGGCTTATGGAAGAATGTATCCTTCTGAGGAAAGCAAAATAAGAGTGGTCTGGGAACACCACACAGCCACACCCTCCAGGGAGGGTTTTCCTGTGAAGATGGAGCTCCTGTACCAGGAGTGATGTAGAGAGAGATGAGCCAGCAACTTGGATGTAAAGACTGCAGTGGGTTTTGTCACCTCTCTCACCACCACCTGTTCCTGTGATTGTCCACTTTGGTCACAGAGAGTAACAGCTTTGTAATCTGTGTTTCAGCACTGGCCATATAATACTCTGTGAGACTTAAATCGAAGCTGAGGCCCCACGCCCAACCATGCTGTGATTGTGTAACGGGTGTGTTCATATGTGTGTGCTCACACTACCTCTATTCCACCCACTTTTGACAGACATCACAAGATCCACACTTCCAACAATACAAGTTTATACGTGATATGTGGATATGCACACATGCATGGCGAATTTGTGTGTGCATGCACCCACTCGGGCATATGTGAAGGTCAGAGGTTGGCTATGGGATATCTTCCTCAATCTCTTCTCCACCTTATTTTTTGAGACAGGGTATCTCACTGAATCTAGAACTTGCTCTTTGGACTTCCCCGGCTGACGGGTGAGCCCTTGGAACCTACCCATCTGTGACCCTCAGCCCGGGGCTACAGCACACTCAACCACACCTGGCTTTTCTATGGCTGTTGGGATTCTGATCTCAAGTCCTGGTGCTTGTACAAGAAGCCCTTTCTTATTAAGCCAGACCCCCAGCCTCTTATTTTCACTTCTTAAAAGTTTCTATTTTCTGGTTTCTGAGCTCGTAGCCACTAAGGCAAGCAGTCACACTGTCTCAACAGCTCAAGAAGACTAGGATAACTAGCACAAGCAGGTGGCCTCAAGGTCGTCCCCACTGGGTGGGAGTGCACGGTACACCTATTCAGGAAGAGCCATCCTAACAATGGCTTACCCCCCATGTTGTCAGTGCTCCCTTGGCAATACCCACTTGGTTTTCATGGGGTATAGAGTTAATTTATTCAACAGAGGAGCTCGCTCTTCCATCTGGTCACCATCTTCCCAGGTTTCTTTGAGTGTGAGATAGACGGTCAAGGACTAATTGGCAGAGCTGTGATCTCTCTGCTATCTAGCACCCA